CAGCTCATAAGAGTCATTTGTTAGTGAATCGGATTACTCTGGTTGCGACGTATATTTTATGTCTGTAGCTTGCAAGGACAAATGCAGCAGATTTTTTATTTTTTTTTGACAATGAATAAGTCACAAAGTTTAATATTAAGGTTTATATTTTCCATACTTTAATTTTCAGACTGGAAATAAAAGTTCATACTGGGTGCATTGCATTGTGGGATACAGTGTGCTTCTTTGTATACTGCACATACAGACAAATAGGTAGGTAGGTCATCTGGGTATTTCATGCATACAAAAAAAATGTATTGCGCATAGTAAGATGCTGCAAAAATTGTACTAGTACCATGACAAATGCACTGTAACTGGTTTTTGTTGAAGTGCAAAGTCTCTACCAAGCAACCAAAACGAACCTAACAGTTGTGCCTATCTCTCAACACTTCTGAAGATGTTGTTTAATGCATGACCCACACCACACCAGTCTGGGCCTTTCTGACCTATTTCAGCATTAAAAACACTAGTAAAACCTGCATCCTCTCCAGACATAGAGAGATGTACAGCACCCGATCTGGTGTCGGTGTTCGAGTGGCGTGCGTATGTTGAGCATGAGAGTGATGCCAGTTGATGGCTTAACTGGATGGACTTTCCCTGCTCTTATTCAATCCGCTGTCTAATCCGCCCTCCTAATTGAACTGACGGCGCGGTTGTCATGGTGACATTAGGGCACGGATTTGAGCGTGGTGCGACTAGACGGCAGGGATTTGCCCATTCGCTCGACGCCATTGACCTGCTTTCTGCTCTAATGCCACGGCTGAGCTTCATCTGTCCCTTTTACATAAATGTATTTGTGCCGTTTGGCTTAACAGTGTGCCAACTGTTGGCGCACAATTATGGATGCTGCTTGAAACAATATCATGAAACGTGAATCCATATGATGCCATTACAGCAAAAGCATCCAGACAAATGCAATCCAACCCAGGTGGATTTTATATTATTTTTAGTTTTATTTAAAAGTATTTTTTATTTTGTTTTATTTTTTATATTTAATTGTTATTATTGCTATAAATTGTAGTTTTATATTAGGGCTGTCATTGTTAACGCGTTAACGCATGCGATTAATTTTACTATCCTTAACGTGTTAAAATAATTTAACGCAATTAACGCAAAATTACTGAAGCACAATTTCTATTCTAACCCTTTAACCCAATTTTGCTACTCTGCTTGCGATTAAATCATTTTAAGCCTAAGTTTTCAGTCCAGATCCAGTAATCGAATGCATTCAAATAATCCGTCCAAAACAGCGCTAATATAAAGGAATCCAGGCTGATTACATCAGAGATTGCAGAGGAAACAGAGACTCGCGTCGCGCTTTCAGTGAATTATTCATTCCAGTGTGTTTCGCTTTTAAACACGAGCTCTGTCTGTCATATTCTGTGATTGTCTCTGAAGAGCGCGAGCCCTCACACTTCGGGCGCTTGTGTGAAGTACAGACTAAGTCCGTTATAATAACGCGAGTGCTCTTGACGCACTGATCGCACATTGTATTTATGCACAGACACAGACATTTCCGTACATTCACGTTGTTTCCACACACATTCACGATAATGTTTTGCTTTGTCATGTTTATGTTGCTATGTTTAGTTATTCTGAATGGATCCGTGTACTGTAATAGATGCATGCAGTCAGCAGGCGGTTGGTTGGTTGGTTTAGGGGTTTTTTGGCATCTCCATGTGGTCCTGTTCGGTATCGCAACTTGGCTTCTCTAAAATGTAAAAAAGATCTTTGCTGATGCACTGTAAATTTATCTTGAAAAAAGCTTGCAGAAAATATAGATTTTTTTT